ACCAAGGTCAGGGCTTCAGCTTTCAGTACACAAACACTGAGCATCCCTTCACTGTTCTGTTTCAAGCTTGTGGGCTTTTCCTACTGATAGCCACAGGATACTAAGTGTAAAAAGTATATCCCAATCTAATAATTACCAAGTAACTTCAATGAGTTTAAGGTTTTGTGGTTGTTTTTTTTCATTTGTTTGTTTTGTTATTTGTTTTGGATTTTTTAAATAAAGCCTTACTTTCTCCAGCTTATTTAGGAAACTTCTAAAGGCTCCTGATGAAGGAGTACATCTTCTGTATTTTGAATGTGATGCTAGTCGTATTAAATTCCAATTTAGGTTCGCTCCCAGTGAAAAAGGCTGCAACCCAACAGACTGGTAACTACATTTCAGGTGTATAAGTAGAAATTTAAAGTTGGTACGGTAGCTAGTCTGTCTATATAACTGAGAAGTCATATACACATTTCAGAGACTGCCATGTTTTCAGCTGAAATGTGAGAACTGCCAGGAAATAGTGATCTTTTACCCCAGATTTTCAGCTTAAAATTTGCAGAGCAGGTTTATAACAACCACTCTAGTCAAAGAAATTATATAAGGATGTAGAGGAAAGGAAATTCCCTAAAGGAGTTTATTTTATTGGTAGCTGGTTCCTTAACTACACAGGCTTAGCTCTGAAAGTGCAAAGTAACTTCTTTATTGTGTAGTGGTTTTGCAGTATTCACACTGCAAAACACTTTGAAATGCTACTTTATGAAAATTCATCATCTGCTCTTCTTGTGTGCTAGGCCAGAGCCTTGTACTAAGTAACACCAAAGGTATTAAAGGCATGCAGGAATGATTAGAAATGCACTTGATGTTACTGGTGCTGTTATTCCTTGTAGAACTGAGATCATTGCAAATCTCCCACACCTACAGTTTAGGGCACCAAAGAACAATGATGAATAAGGAAGAGGTGTCCTTTCCAAGTATCCTTTGATTGTTTTCACCAATGGGTTCCTTTGGTGCCTGAAAGAAGTGGAAATAGCCCTTTCACAAAGCTTTGCTTTGCACGCTGCTTCTGGTAAATTCCACTTTCTCCATCTGCTGTTGTCGAAGCTGTCCAGTCAGCATAAACAGGCTGTAGTGATGGCAGCCTAAAGAGAACTTAAACTTGAAGTAGGAAGGCTAACGACTTTGATGCTGTTGAACAGAAAGGCCAGGTAGAGAAAGTTCTTTCTTAGCCCTTTTGTGAAAAATAATAGTAATAAAAACCTTTAAGAACCAAACAGCTAGCAGTGGTTAGGGAAGGAACATATTTAGAAGTTTTAAATACACAGAAGTGACTTTTTGTTTCTAGAACTTCTTTTTATGAAGTGAAATTCCAATGAGTCATTAGTAAGGTTTTCCCCAGTCCCTGCCTCCACAGAAGAAGAATAAAAGGCCATCTAAAATCAATAAAAACCATCTAGTTTGATGGCTTCTAATATATTGTCGAGCTTTCCCAGTGTTCTGATGGTGATGCATGCCCTGCATCCCTGATGGGAAGCTTCTCCCGCCACACCTTCCAGGTCAGTTCACTCCATGCAGTTATTCATCAGCAGGTCATGCATTTCTCCATGTGTCACCTTTGCTGAATCACCACCATAGGCAGAATTGTAAGTTCTGCAGTTGGAACAGTCGATTAATGGTAAGCAGTCCCTACGTGCCAGCCCACTATTCAGTATTCTGAATGAATTGTATTAAGTATGGTTAACCCTATAATGAGAAAGTATGCTGTCCCTTAATCAAACTAAAATATAACAAACAAGATTCTTGTATTTTGAAATAATACTAAATTTGCAGTTGTAGAACCATTGGCTGTCAAATACCTCATGGCTTTAGAATTCTTTTTATGCAGATGCATTGCAGAAAACCAGTAACAAGAATTATCCTAGCCCAGCATTTGGGAAACATGGAGAGAGTTGAGCATTTTATTTGTTTTGGTGCCATGAAGGCTATTCAGAAATAGCTGTTAGAAATACCGATTCCTGATCTTTGGCTGTTTAAAAATCCCACCTTGTGGCTAGTTAGCACAGTGCTCAGGCTTTGTGAAGTTCAGCTGCAACACTGAGCCCAGACATAGAGCCTTTGGAGCTGAGCAAGAGTCAGGAGATGCAACGTGTGCAAGTCTTGTCTGAGTTTGTCTGCTTGTTACAGACCTTGCTCTATGATTCCCAGGGCTAGCTGGTCATCTCATGCAGAGAACTTGTGTGAAAGGATGCTGTTAGATGCCTGCATGGGAACCAAAGCCAGGAGGGAGCCATGCCTATGACTGTGGAGTTTCCGTGGAGTTTCCCAACTTGTTCTGTGGTGATCTGCCTCACCACTCTTCAAATGAAATGGAGCCTGCGTCCTTTGGTGGTTTGGGCTTTTAAATTGCTTTCCTATTCTTATACTTCTTTCTCTTTTGAAAAGAAAGTCTCCTCTCCTCAAAGGAAAATAAAAGGATAGAATTGTATTTCTGAACATGGGAAAATGAGAATTCATTTGTGAGAAGTCAGGTCAAGGGAGTGAAGGATTTATGTTTCAGCTTAATCGGTAATTCTGTAACACAGAACGAAGTTAGTTCCAAAGGTTTACTGGGGCTTCACTTCGTAAAAACTGGGATGATACCTGGCCTGTACTCACCATATCCCAGGGGCTGAAATTTATTCAACTGTTTTGTCACTCCAGTCACACTTCTTTTGTAAATTTTTTCAATGCGGTGAGGACTGATGTCCGTGTTATAAAGCTATGCTGTAATCTCCCCTAATGACGTAGGTTTCTCCATTTAATAGGTACCGATTTATGGACACTGTGGTGGTTATCTTTGGAGAAGATGTAATGCAGGAGAAAAGTAGGTCACTCATCACTAATCTGCTCCCACCAACCTCCTACTCCTTGGCTGAGTGGAGATGTTGTGGCAGTTTACAACCTAATTCTGGGACTGCTTTCTGCTGCAGTGTCCTGCTTTAAGCTCAGGCTTTGCCATTTTGGTAGAGGTTGCATGAGTGAGACAGACTTTAATTTTTGAAAACTCTGTCAATGCATAAAGAGAAGAAATTGAGTAAGATTTCTTGATGGTGCCTATCTGCAATGGGATTTCTATTACATCACAGCCAGCTAATTGCAGTCGTTTACATTAAACAGACATTACGAATCACAACTACTGTTTTGATCTGCATTCCCTCTTTAAAGGGGAGTGAACTTTAAAGCTGTACTTGAAAGACAGTTCTAGTGAAAAGGAACAGCTCCAGTTTGTGTGCACAGCAGCATTTGCATGTTTTAACAAAACGCTGCAACTGTTTTTAAGGTATTTTGTCCTACGCTGTCTGGTTTTCATTCCCTCTCTGCTACGGATCTTTGTGGTTGTTTTGCTTTCCATGTGTTGCCTTACAAATAAAGAAAGCAGCCTAAATAATCTAGGATTTAAACGGCAAGCCAGCTTTTACACTTCCTGCTGAAGGCCTGAGCAGGAAAAACAAATCTGAGGAAACAGCAGTAAGTAGAAAAAGGTTACAATATATTTTATCTTCAGTCAACTTTGTGTAGTTTCTCTACTGGTCCTTGAGAAGCAGCTCCTTTCAAGAGTTGTTCTCAGCAGTAACATCTGCATTCATCCTTTTGTAAGGCTGCCTTAAGGGCATGGGTAACAAGACTGGGAACAGCTGCAGGTATCCTTAGATGGTACTGAATACTTACTAAGGAGAACTCACAACTGCTTCTATCTGCTTAAGCCTTGTCTCCCTCAGACAAGAGTAGTCTCACTACATAGGACATATTGTGGTCATTCAGCCAATTTTGAAACATAAACACAAAATAAAACAAAATAGGAAATTCCTTTAGAAAAGGCCTCTGTAATACAGCCTTCCTTACACCCTACTAATGTAAAAACCAGCAATGAAGGCACAGCAGTACTCTGGATCCATAACAGTAAATATCATTTACTACACCTACCTGCTCAGCCCTGCACTCCTGGGATGCTGCATGCAAAACTGCATTAGACACATCCCCAACCCCCAGCAGAAGCTGTGGTGCACTCACAGCAATACCTTCCTCATTTCACTGGGAACTCCTGTGCCTGAGGAATCACAAGGTTTGCCGACTCACTTGCCTCTAAAGCCAGCTCCTGCAACAGGCACTGTTACTGGCACAAACACACCCGCACCACCCAGCCCAGGGCTCCCACGCTGTTCCTCTGGGTTGTGTTTTCCTACAGGGAGTGGTGCCATTTACAGCCTGCTAGCAAACAGTAGCCCAGAGCACGCCCCAAGTGCCTTTACCTGCTCTGCCTTTAGCTGTCCAGGCACGGCGGCTCCCAGCAGGCACAGATGGTGCCTGATCTCTCGCTGCTGCACACACGTCCTGCACTGCTGGGCTGAGATGGGCAGTGTGACCATTCACTTGGCTCCTTCAGCACAGACTGTGCTTAAACAAAGCACGAGTAGAACTAAGGCCGAGAAAGCCAACTGCTGCTTTTCTATCAGTAGATCATACTTAGCAAAGTATATCTGAATTTGACTGTGAAGGACCATAATAGTTCTGTGGATAATACGCTAATTAAAGTCAATGTGGTACACTTTTGCTTATACACAAAAGTCTTCGTCTATTTCCTCATGGCAGCACGAGCTGTAGCTGCCTATGAAATTAGGTGCGGGCAGAGGTACAGCAGCACACTGGAATCACAGAACAGAGTTGGAAGGGACCCACGAAGACCATCGAGTTCGACCCCGGCTCCACACAGCGCTATCCAGAATCCAAACCCAACGTCTAGGAGCGCCGTCCAAACACTCCTTGAGCTCCCGTGGTCGCGCCCACCGCCGTCTGGTGAAAGTTCACAGGGACGCGTCCCAGCCCCCGTGCAAAGGACGGCACACGCCCCTGCCCGCCCCTACTCTCGTGCACGGGGCTCGCAGGAAGCGCTTTTGTTTCAGCGTCGGCGGGCGGGGCGCTGCCTCCGCCTTCCCGTTCCCGTTCCCTGCCGCGCCGCTCCAGCCGCCGCCCTTTTGCTTTCGCTTCTCGCCGGCTCGGCAGCGCGGCCATGGAGAACGGCGGCGTCTACAACGAGACCACCGAGCCGCGGGCCAAGCCGCCCCTCCGCCGCCGCTGCGGCTGCACCCTGCGGCACCTGCGGGGCTGGCGGCTGGTGCACAAAGCCCTCCAGCCGGTGAGTGCCTCCGGGCGCGGCGGGGCGGAACGGGGCGCGCTCCTTTCTCGTGTCCCGGCTGAGGCGAAAGGCCGCCGCCAGCACGGCTGTGCTGCTCGGTGCCGAGGCTTAGAATCTGAGGGGCAGCGCTTTCTGCAGAGAGCTACGGGGGTGAAAGAGGAGGTGGAAACCCTGCTCTGAAGCTCGGGGTACGGCTGTGGACTTGGCCGCTCCTCGCACGCCCCGGCAGCGCCTTTCCTGCCTCCTGTAGAGCACCACGCACAGTGATGGTAACCCGTCCGGACGGCTGAGACGCTGCTTCTCACCGGGCGGTCCTGGGCGCACCGGAAAATGCAGGCTCCCCTTTTGCCTGCTTGTTGTCATATTCTGAGTGCCTTCAGCACGTGGGCGCGCGATTCGTGCTGCTGTCTGTCCGGCGGTGCTGGTAACGGTGCAAGGAACAGAGAGGGGAAGTACTCACAGGGGGGCAGTGGGACTGGCTGCTGACTCTAAGTGTGTCGGTGCCTGTTTTCCGGCGAAGTGGCTGTTCAGTCAGATGTCTCATGCTCAGAGGAATCATAGGTGATTTCCAACACTCTCGTGTGCTCACTGCGCAGAGAAGAGGACATTCTGTTTTTAAACTTTAGCTCACACAGAGTCAAAAGGAAAAGAAAGGTAAAGGTAAGACTAAGTGCTGCCAAAAGCAATGTTTTCTTAATAGCGTTTTAAAAACATCATGTCCGAGAATACTTTAAATAAATGTAACAGGATGTAAGCTTTTACTTCGTCACCTAGAGATTGATTGATCAAATAAGATCTGCTGGCTGTCGCTGCCAAGCAAGCAGATCATTTATATCAGTAGTCTGATGGAATAGAATGAAATATTACATGTGCAACTTCACCAGTGTAGCAAAGTCTTCAATTTGTTACCTGAGCAGAAGCATTGCTTAAAAACTTTCCAGGTAGGAGAAAGAGAAGTTATGAGGGGCCTGTCCTAACCATCATGGGTAGCTGCTCGATAGGTTTCAAAAACAGTTGGTGGTCTATACTTGTCCTACAACGAGAGGAAAAAGAAAACTGAATTATAGTCATTCACTCTCCTGATTTCTGACAAATTTTCTCCTTCCTTTTGTTTCCATTTACCAAAATGCACTGTTCTGGAGTTCTTGGTCAAAGTATTTAAAAGAAACACCAGGAATTACTGAGGATGGAATCTTCAGTATCTCCAGTAAGAGAAATGTTTTAGGAAGGATTTTTGGAAATCACTGTGATTTAGCTAATATTAGCACCTATTAGCTGTCTGTTAAAATAGGGATTCTTTGTTATTTTGGGGATTACACACTGATTATCACTGGGGTGGACTGCTAAATAGGGTGTTGGTTTCAAAAATCACCCATCTTTGTTACAGAATAGAATAATAGAACCCTCAGACTATTAAGGGACTTTCAAAGATCACCTAGTCCAGCTCCGCTGCCATGAACAGGGACGCCACAGCTAGGTCAGGGTGCTCAGGGCCTGACCCAGCCCAGCCTTGAAAGTTTCCATCACATCACTGGGCAACCTGTTCCTGTGCCTCACCACCCTCACTGTAGAAGACTTTTTCTTTATATCTAACCTAGATCTTCTCTCTTTGAGCATGAAACCATTTCCCTTCATTCTATTACCACAGACCCATCTAAAGAGTCTGTCCCCTTTCCTGTAGCTCCTCTTTAGGTACTGAAAGGCTGCTCTCAGGTCACTTTGAAATCTTCTCTTCTCCAGGCTGAACAGCCCCAGCCCTCAGCCTATCCTTACAGGGCAGGTGTTCCATTACTTGGAGCTGTTGGAGTGCATCCAGAGGAGGGCAACAAAAATGATCCATGTCTCTCCTGTAGTGAGCACTCCACATTTGGACGCAGTACTCCAGGTGAGGCCTCACCAGCACAGAGCAGAGGGGCAGGATCACCTCCCTCCCCCTGCTGCCCACACTTCTTTGGATGCAGCCCAGGATATGAGTGGCTTTCTGGACTGCAGGGGCACATTGCTGGTTCATGTCCAGCTTCCCATCCATCAATACCCCCAGGTCCTTTTCGGCTGAGCTGCACTCAATCCTTTCGTCTCCCATCTTGTATTGGTAATAGGGGTTGCCTTGACCCAGGTGCAAGACCTTGCACTTGGATTTGTTGAACCTCATGAGGTTCACCTGGGCCCAATGCTCAATGCCATTCTAGATCCCACTGAATGGCATCCTGTCCTCCTGTCCCTCTGGTTTGTCGACTGCACCCCACAGCTTGGTGTCATCCACAAACTCGCTGAAGGTGCACTCAACCACGCTATCAATGTCATTGATGAAGTATTAAAAAGCATCAGTCCCTGCAGTGACCCCTAGGGGATACCACTTGTCACAGATCTCCGTTCAGACATTGTGTCATTGACTACCATTCTCTGGGCTTGATTCTGCAGCCAGTTCTTTGTCCATTGAACAAGAAGATCAAGTATTTTATAAAATACTGTGAAATCGCCTACAGAAAACTTCTTTCTAGGCATCTTAATTGCGTGGGTTTCTAGATTACTGTTTTGTTTTACTTTTACTACAGCTGGATTGTTTTGTTGTTGTTTTTTACTCCACGACTGGTTCAAATTCAGCACTAAGCTAAATGTCATGGTGCCTATTGTGCCATGCTTGAGGTAGAAATGAGTTCTCATCTAAAGCAGTAGTATTTCTCATTAGCAGTTATTTTACTTCAAAAAAAAAATACCTTAACCAGAAAGGAAAACTGTAATTCAGCCTCAATCTGCTATTTGCCCTGAACTGTTTGCTTCCTATAGTATCCCTCACTTTGGAGCAGTACAGAACTAACGTATGTGCTCATCTAAACTGGAAGGTTTGTGCTGGGAATACCACTGCTGCTTGCCTGCTGGCAAGTTCATCGATTTACTTTATATTTGCAGCATTTCTTTGTAGCCTTTTCTTTATTAAACCCACCTGTAGAAACTTGCAGTAGCAGTAATGTCAGTGTTGATGAAAAACTTCCTTGCTGGCAAAGGGCAGAGGAAGATATTTATTTTCTGTAGGAGAGGGAGGGAAGGTGGAAGCTGACTGCATGTGTCTTCAGGTGTGACCTTGGTCTTCAGTATGAAGGAAGCTCTGTCCCACAGGTTTAGCTGAGCTGCCCTCTCCACTCATTGCTGACAGCTCGGAGGAAAACAGTTGTTGATATTCTGTCCATTTGCTGCTTGGAAGTCTCCATAGGCGCAGTGTGGAGAAGACAAATGTGAAACTAAAGCAAAGGACAAGTCCCATAAAAGACTCCAGTTGATCCATCCTTTAATTTTAATTTTTATTTTGACATGGAACTCCTTTAAGTACTCTTTGAATGTAATTTTCTCTCACTTGCTTGTACACTCAGCCAAGAGGTTGCTGGTTTTTTTTTTCTCAGTTACGGTTATCTGGGCTACTGAAGTCTTCTGAGGGCAGGTTAACAGAAAGGCTTTTGCTTTCCTTCTGGTCTGTTTTGTTTCTGGTGAAAGTGATGGCTGATATAAAGAGTGGTGATATATAAAGGGGTGGAAATCTAAATCACAGAAGAGAGGGGAAGAAAAATAAAAACATACCTCCTATTTTAGCTCACTTTGCAAAACATGTGAATTAGTGATTGGACACAATTGTAAGCTGTGTAAGTAATCTTTTGATTATTTTTTAAAAAACCTCTCTAAAAATTGGAAATTCAGAGCTTAATACATTCCTTGGGCATCCGTTGTAACCACTGATTTAGGTGTGTGTTCCTGAGCAATGTGCCTTTGCCAGCAGCTGCATGAGGGAAAGGAAGTATGCTGAGGCCTGATTGTAATATGCAGTTTCTCACCTCCAGTTCTTTCCCTTTCTGAGATCCTGTTTACTTCATACATGATTGTGTATTCAAAATACAATGTTTTGAAGTGCCCTTCTGAGGTCTGGCTTAGTTGGTGGAAGGTGTGGTTCTCATGTGCTAAGTCGCTGTTCTTATTTTTACTGTCTTATTTTTACTGAGGACAGGTAATTATTTTCCAAAATAAGATGCAGATAAAGCACCTGCAGCTGCTTTTACATGCCATATCTGGAAAATGACAATTCTAAATTCTAGAATTTGGTGTTTTTCATAGAACTGTCACCCTCCCACATGCTGTTATTAATAATATGATCATCCTCACATCAGTCTTGATTTTATGACCAACTCTGGTTCCTAATCACTGCTTTGCTCTAATCTGCTGAACTCCTTACTGCACAGATCTATATCCTGTGTCATCTTTTCAGGATGAAGAAAGCCAGCGAGAAGTTGCCACAAGGAGGGATTATTTAAATGCAGCAATATTCCTTCCTGCACAAAAAGGTAGCAGAAAATCCAGCAGCAGATGCATGACAGCTGTATGGGAATTAATTCATGCTGCGTCCTCAAAAAAGGACAGTTGCAGGAAGGCTGGCATAAGCTTCTGCACAGATTAAACACTGTCCAGCGTAGCTTAAACTTTCTGGTTCCTGCAGTTGAGCTGCTGTTGTTACAGGGTTCTAAGTATACAAGCTACGCTTTCTCTGAAGTTGATCAAGAGAGGCAGCTGGCTGGATCAATGTGTTTGATTTCTCCCCTGCCCCAAACCGAAGTGCATTTAAAATTAAATGCAGCTATAAGTGGTAAGCAGCAGAGTTTGTGCTTCTCATCTGTCTGGTTTGCTTCCCGCTGCCTTCTGCACAGCATCACAAATCAAGAGTCTTTACTTTCTAACCAAAAAGTGAGTTTGGCAGCATGTGCTCAGCTTAACCGAGTGTCGTTCACTGCCTGACTTTAACATCAAGACAAAACTGTCTCCCTATATTTCTGCATGTAATAAAATAGTACAGAATTTTATGGGGCTCTTTTAAGATCCAGTGTTTTCTTACAGCTGTTTTCATTAATATTGACATCAGAGGCATTCAGACTTTCATTTGTTGAAGATATTGATGAGACTTGGTACCATTGAAGTATGCTATTTGTTTGCAGGTCCTCTCTTTTCTGGCTGTTATTTTTGAAGAAATTGTGGAGGATTGTATCAACTGTCATGGGCTGTACTTCTTTGAATTTGTAAGCTGCAGTGCTTTTCTTTTGAGCCTCCTGATCCTGTGTGTGTATTGCACTATTGCATATGAAACGTTTGGGAAAGATAAAGTAAACAAAATGGTAAGGAATTTCATTTGTTTTAAATAAACCATATAATGTAAGCTCCTCGAAACTGCTGTGGAATCAAAAGGCTGTGCAGAGTGAATCTCCTATTATTCTCCATTTAAAAATTAGATTAAAGGAGGTTATATTACTTTGACTTTTTCAACTTTAAGAGTCTTCTTAATATTGACAGTTTTTCAAAATTGTCCTACATGCAGGACATTAAGACTTGTGTGAAAGTCTTTCATAAAGGCTCCCACTATTACACTGTTATAATAGATCACTCCAAAAGCAATGCCTCCTATTTATTTCCATGGAAACTACAACAGATACAAAGAGTTCTGTAACACTGTGAGATAGAGCAAATTCACAGCTAGAAAATGCCATTTGTCATCACAGTCACTACTGTCATCTATGCATTTTCACCAGAGATGAACAAAAGCCTGCATGTCATGCTTGTAAAAAAAAAAAAAAAAGAAAGAAATTGCACCAGTGGAGGTGACCCACTGTTGCTGTCACTACTGCTGAAATGCACCATTCACCACCTCATTGTGTCAACATTTACTGTTTGGTCTCCATAAACATTCAGCAAGTGCCAATGGATGTCAGTGGGTGCTGTTTTTTCCACATGGTGGAATTCAGTTCCACCCCATTGCTTCAGATGCACTCCCATGTCAGACACCTTTCTGTCAGACTGCCCCTTTGATGCCATCTGTCACATAGTAACAACACGTAATGGGATATTGGTTGGGAAGGTTCAACCTTTGCTGCCATCCATCAGCATCTGCCTGCTTCTGACCTTGTGGGCCATCATAATAAATTAGGAGGCATTACTTTCAGAGCAGCCTTCATATGCATGATATGGCTTTCTGCCAGCATGGTACTTGAAATCTGCCTGTCTGCGGCATCTGTTTTTCTACTGAGTGTAGCCTACCTCCTTTCTGATAATAACTGTACTGGTTACTGCTCATGCTTTTATGTTCCACAAGGTGCACTGTTGGCACAGTGTCACCCTGTGAAGTCAGGAAGGCTGTTTTTGGACTGTCCTTTCAGTGCAAGCAGTAACAATATCATGTGAAGGTACAGATAAGGGAGTGTAGTCAGAGATCTGAATGAGCACCTTCACTTACAGGTTTCTAGTTTCCCAGATGGAATAATGCTAGCATGACTGACCTGCGCTTGAATTTGACTGTGAAAAAGGTTAAATGTAATGAGAGAAATACTGAAAGAAGATTAAAAAAGAAAAAAGGATTTTATAAAGTTGACTTTTAAAAATAGTTAATGATATTGAATGTTGGTTGGTAGTGAAATCAGTTTCCTGACTCTCCCACGAACTTCAGTGTTTCAAATAGTAAATTCATTGTCAGATTAACTTGGTTGCTGTTAGGATGTTTGTTTGTTTGTTTGTTTTCAGGTAGCATATCTACGCTTGTGTAACATTCATTTCTTTTATTTGCAGAATTTTTGGACCATGCTAATTATAGGTGCCTTCTTTCTAATAGCTTCAATAGTGCTTGCTGCAACCAGCTCTGGGTCTGCTTTTGAAAAAGCTGCTTGTGTAAGTCTTATAATTGTATCATTTACTTTACATTTAAATTGTATCTTAATTTCTCTGCTCTTGAAAACTCACTCAGTTTGCAGGCAAGAAGCTGGGCAGGGAACAGACTTCAGTGCATTATGTTGTTTCAGGAAGAGAGAGTTATTTTGGAGCTTCTACAAGCTGGAAAGCAGGCATTCCTTAGGACTTCTGGAAAGCTCTGTGTACTCTTGAGCTCCCTGGCATCTTCATTCCTTGCTTAATTTTGCTCCCTTGGCTCCGTGTTCTTCCCTGTCCTCTGTCACTATTGACAACACTGCCTTCTCTCACCACTCCCTGATAATCTCCTCTGAAAAGCAGATCAGCTGCATTTCCATTATATTCTCCAGTTGTAAAGTCAGCAAGCAACCATATCTTTTGTCAGGCATTATAAAACATATGTAGAGAATGCTGGCTTGTAAAGGCTGTGATAAGAATCACAGTTTCCTCAGTGACAGAAATAGAACAACGGGGCATGCATCTCCCGGGGACAATGAAAAGGCTCAGAGCAATGCACTGTGGAGACTTTGTGGCATAGATCCTCCCTTATTTGGCACTCTTTTAAAATAACCTCGAAATTGTGAATATGTGAGTTTAAAAGACCAAATTTTGATTTTTATTCTTGAATGAATTAAAAATGGATTAGAAAGGAAAGCGAAATACTTCCACTCCATAGGCAGGATGAGCTATTGGATACGCACATTTTCGTGTGGTGCTCTGTTTTGCTGCTGATGTACTCATACCTAATGGCTGAAATATAAAGGCTCCCCATTTTTTTCTTTTTTTTTTCTTTTAAACTGGAAAAACAAAGTAATTGTGATTTAAGACTTATTAGTGTCTAATTGCTTTGGGGAAAAACAGCTGCTTAAATTCAGTCAAAATGAGTGTAAATGTGTGCATTTGATTCCTTGCTTGAACGAAGATGCTAAAACCAACCTGCTTACCACTCTTCTGCTATGAATAACAATGAAACTTGTCATCCTTACTTGCTGACCCAGCAAGGCCTTGCTGAGCTTCTGCTGCTTTATCTCTTCACCTTCCATCTGTTATTCTTCTTTGCTTGGTCCTTCTAAACAGCATGCATCTGTTGTATAACTGTTCTGCTACACCATCAGTGCTATACTTCTTCATTAGTTTTACTGGAAAAAAAAAGAATACATATATATATATATATACTTCCACTATTAAGATCTGTTTAGAAAATATTCTAATATCCACAGCTGGTTAAGAGAATGAGAACTGTAAAACCTTTTACATTTTATATGCTACAGTATGACTTCCAACCCACTGCCAATTTAAACGGAACTAATGATTTCATATATGAGCATTATTAACAGATCTCTCCAGACACTTAGAATACTGCCAGTATTTGTACATTTTTAATTCCTGTATTCCTTTCACTTTCATAGGTGTTTGGATTTTTTGCAAGTGGGGCATTTTTAGCTGAATTTATATGGGAACTTTGGTGCAGTCGGAAACAAAGCACTGAAGAACGCTCTGAAAATCCAGGCCACACTCAAGGTGCCACAGAAGATCAGCCACTGAATAAGCCAAGCTAAACTTTCTGAAATTAGTTCTTTTTTTTTTTTTGAGTGGAGCAAGCTAAAACAAAGTTTCAATGCTCTGTAGGTAATAACTTCTGTCCCTTCCTTCTAATCAGTTTTATTTGTCACAAAAACTTAAAGATCTGCAGGCAAGTAGTGACATCTTGAGCATTGTGGTTTATTTAATTTTCTAAGCAACTGGTCCTGCCACCTATTTAGGTGGCATATATTTAAAAAAAAAAAATGTAAATAGAATAACTGAAGGACAGTAGTGTGCTGATTTGATTTTGGTAGAAGTGACTAATAAAGGGAAATATGTGATGCAGAAATTCTTAGTTATGCTCTGAAGACATTTTCTATATAACTTGGACCAGATACTTCTCTTACAAGTTCCAAATTAGAAGAGCAGAATTCATTCTTATTGGTCAAACAGTGAATGTAAGAGACATCTAACTGCAGCCTTACAAAAATGCTTATCCGTGTGTAAGAGTGTGGGATTTTGTTTTTACTATTCAATCTCTTTCTTCAGTTCTGCCTGTGAGATCAGTTTAATGAAAGCAAGGAGTTTTTATGCAGGGGGTAATGTAGTTGTTTATTAAGGAGAGAGCTTTGCACATCGTGCTCATCGGTGTTCACACTTAGATGACAGAATGTTTTTTCAGATTGTTTCAAAACCAAGAAAATTTGCAGGAATAAAGAAAAGCTGGCTGTGAGAGGAAAAATTGAAGAATAAGTATTTTCACAAAGTAACCCTAAATTAGCAATTTGAACATCAATGGGAAAAACATTACTTCACACTGGTACTATCCAGGTGAATATGATTTGCAAGGTTAATCGCATACACAACTTGTCTATGCACAGTTAATGGTAGCTTTACTGGAATTGTTGTGGACCATGTCATTTTCTTTGCTCTAGTGCACTATGGACTGACTGGCTCAGCTGGTGAGCAGGTAAATCAGTACTTGTACCCTAAAGCAACAGGCCATACTGCTGATGCAGCATGTATCAGACCAGTGATGGACATATCAGGCTAGATGCTGATGGGTATAAATAAAATGGAAAAAAGGCATTTTTTTAGATGTCTGAGGTAGAAGCAAAATTGCTAGACATGTAAAGGAATGCCCTCAAAAATAGGGCAACATGCCATAAGCCAAGAGATGTTCCAAAAATACCAGAGCACGTGAGAAAAAAAAGCTGATTATGCAAAAACAGTTGTTGTTTGAGTTCTCATGACATCTGTAATGTCTTCCAGGCATTAACACCATTTATCAATATTCTTGTCTGACAAGTTTATAGTCCTGTAACCTGCTGTGGCAGTGCTGAGACTAAGCCCTCCAGAAATTGTGCATGAGAGCTGTATTTGGAAAGGGATGAGGAAGTCAGTGTAAGAGAAAGCAGTGTAAAAGGTCAACTTTTTTTTCCTAGTACTGTTACTTTCAGATGAACATGAGTTTGTGATGTTCTCTCCCTAACCTCTGTGCCTTAACTTTAACACTACACTTTGCTTGGGGAATGTAACATTTTGACAGCTGGTGTGAAGCACCAAGTTTAAGCCGTGTCTTGGTTTCAGAGCCATGCGTAAAATACGTATTTTCTTGTATGGAATTTCTTGCCTTGAAGATGAAATGTTATTTGGACTGTCATTTATTTTCTTGTATTTATTAGAATCCATTTGCACTAACCTGATCTCAGTGTAGGTGTACAGAGCTTATTGTAGCTGTGTCTGAAAACTGGGTAGATTAGAGATGTGTTTGTTTACAATAGGCAATAGGAAACTGGTCACAGGGAGAAATATCTCTGCTGCAATTCGCAGTGTCTGACTTTGGCGTATATGTTCACAATGGTGATTAGCATTTGAGGTTGGTGTGAGTTTTTTGTGTGTTTGTTTTTGTTTCCTTTTTAGTTTATTGCCCAAGATTCTTATGAATTTTTTCAACATTGAGATTTCTGTTGTTTCTTAATCTTGATACTATAGAGTGTAAAATTAACCAGGTGCTGCTGATATTATTTAACAATGCAGGACTATGACAAAATTTTCATCTTGGAATAATCTTTCCTTTTTTTTTTTTTTCTTTTCTTTTTTTTTTTTTTTTCTTAGCTTAAAATATATGAAGAGAGTTATGGGTTTTGATTACCTTCTCTATTGACTTTTCTCTGCCTGATTTGCTATTGATACGCATTCCTGAATTGGAGATGTAGGTACTGAGAGGGATCCATGAAACCATTTCTCTGCCTTAGGCCTCCCTATCCTATCTGGTATCTACCACTGATTCTTTACAGACAAATTGGAATACAGAAGTTATTTTTACAAAAAGGTGCCACAAGCAGCTGGTGTCAGAAGTGACTGGAACTGAGTTCTGACTCCCACGACCTGTGTCAGACCTTCTGAAACAGAAATATTGCCAATCTTTGCAGAACAGTTTGATGGATTCTCTTGCTACATACATGCTGGCATCCCTGGAGTATTTCAGGTTGCTAAGAGTGAGGATTTTTTAACATACACTTCATTTTCCTTGTAGCTGTTCCAAGCAGTTAGCGTTTACACATTCTCTCACTAACTGACTGATCTGTGTATGGATTTGAGAACCAAATTCTGTTGACTGAAAGGGATGAAAGCATTGCCACCAGCTAATGAAAATGAGCAGGTAGTTTTCTGGAAACTGGTTAGATCTGTTTTCCCTTGTCATAGGATTTTCCTAATGGGAGACGTGAAATTCTTTAAAACAATACGTAGAGCTCCATCCCAGATTCTGTTTAACTGGCATTCATCTGTCATATAGTACAGTAGTTAAATACCACATATGGGCTATGAGTTTGAGGTAATTGCTAAACTGTTGCTACCAAAACAGCTGTTTGTTAACAAAGCAGTTTCTGTATGGTTGTACTGTCAATCCTAGGCTTTTAAGCTTGAGGGTAGGGTGTAGTTGGTTTTCTGTTGTTGCTTAGAAATAGTTGGGAAAATAGTTGGGAATGAGGCTTGTTTGTATCTATGCAGTTCTCTGCTGCTGCTTAACTTGCTTTGTCAGCTCCCCAGGGTACAAGGGCAGATGTGTGTCTCTGCAATCCTCCAGGCCAGGTAGGATGAGAGACTTCCTTACTACCACAGCCAAGCAGAGTGGTCTCCTGCTGTCCTGATGTGCTCCTGTCATGCTCCCAGTGTCGGCTGTAGGCTTTGAGTGTCTTTCCTCCCATTAGGCTGATCCCAAAGGATGGCACTGGATTAAACATCAGTTTTTGCAGGAGCTCTTTCTGGCTGTATGTCTCCTACACTCGTGCACTGTCAGCAAAGTGGTTTGCAAGTTTCCCAGCCTGTTCCTGATTAAACAATCCTGCTTTCTTTAAATTAGCTATTTACATTGCTAAACAAAGTTGGCTGAATTTGACTGAAGTGGATTAGGGTTATTCAGGAGAATGGTGGGAGCTTTAGCAGGAGGGCAGTTATGAGAAACTATCTTAAATTTCTTTTCCTGATTGCAAAGCAGCCACAATTGTACAGTCTTAACTGACAGTAAAACCTGTGGAGAGGAGCAGTCGGCACGGTACATCAAGCTGAAGACTGTCTTCACCTTCTTCAACACTGTGCTTGGCAGTGGGGCTGTGAGCCTGCTCAGCATATTCAAATCCAGTCGAGCACATCCAAAAATATTTGAAGGCTCCACACTGACTCTCAGGCATCTCTTATGCTTATGGTGCTGTGAGAATCAGTGCAGAGGGTTCTCCAGGACATGTGAAGACTTGCTGTTAAGTAGCTGAACTGTGAGTTTTTGCTCTGAAAAGCCACATGTACATTATGTAGAGTGTGAATTTTTAAAGCGTTAAGCTCATATTAAAATCATAATGCTAGCAATGCCCTTTGGATTCAAGTATTTGAAGGAATTGTGCCCTACAGCTTGTACTCTGTGCTTGCAAACAGCAGGGCAGGGTTGTGGTCCTGTACCGTTTGGTTCTACCATTGCACCCACCAACTTTAAAATGCAGTGAACTGTTTCATGCAATGCTAAGAGCTCAGCACAAGATGTTTTTGCATAATGGCCATTGTGGTAATCCTCACTCTGTTCAAATCTGTGCAATAAAAATACCAAGCTTACTACACTGAAGGGAAACATTTTGTGAGATATTTGAGGGGTTGTATGAAGTTGTAATGAATTAATATGCTGGTAGTGCCTTTAAGATGGAAATTCATCTTTGTTTTATTTTATTGCTGTAAGCAGCGGGAGGTATCTAGATTAAATTTTATGCTGTTCAGAACTATCACTTTCATACCTTTGAGAACTTAAGTGCCTTTTAATGATTATTAAATCAGAATGATAATGCAATTGTTTTATATATATTAAAAAAAAAAGCATATAGTTTCGTAGCCAGTGTTGCCTTGAACTTCCATTAAAATAATTGTGAAATGTTTAATTATTTTTCCATTCTATTTTAATTCATATTTTAATGTATTATGTTCTTTTTGGTCCTTAAAGATGTTTTGTAATCATTTTTAAAATAAAATATCAGTAAATAAGTTTCTTGTTTCTACTGCTAATGATTCGGTATCAGTATGTAGTTCTCCCAGAACAAACCACAGGAAATAACATCATTCTTTGTTCCTGGTTTGGAGGAAGGAGCTTGCATTGTGTTTGCCTGTTACTGGGGAAGAGTATCTAACTTGCAAACCTGCAAAGCTGGATGTTTTCAGTGGAAGCTTCCAGGAAAAAAGGTCCAATGAGGTCAGTATTGTCCCATGTCACAGGGTCCAAACAAGCTAGTCAATGACAGACTTCACACCTACTATGGCCTAAGAGTTACTGCAACAAGTGTAATTCAAGTGCTGGTTTCCTACTGTCTTGATTAGTTGGAGGTAAGAAATGAAGTGGTAAACTTGTTAAAGGAAGGAACACAAATAAACATAAGGCATCATAAGGTGTCAAATTCTATCTTTTGGTGTAGAAAAATGCAGGTGACTGAGCTACCAGGTTGAGGAGGAGTCACTGGATCCTTTAGAAATGTTTTTGTCTGATTGTTGGTGGCTGGGGTATGGAAAAGGAAATAATAAACTTGCATGCTTTCTGGCAGGGTAACTTTTTTTGTTTTATAATCAGGTTGCTTCTTGCCTATTCATCTTGGGACCAGGAGGAGAACTGCACTTTTTTATCTTCTACACTGAAATTGGAGTAATGTACTATATTTTTCTTTATATTATTTATTAAATGTGAAATTCCCTATGATGAATTTGCCAGAGATGAATGTGAACGTATGAGTTCATGAGAGGAAAAGGCCTCTAATACCATAAACTAAATTAAATTTGAAAACTAGGTGCAATATACAATACAATAAAGGCAAAATGTAGTAAGGGGGAATTGCAGTGGTGGATTTACAGAGTGAGTTCTAAGAAACTTGATTAAGATTTAATAATTAGAAGCATAACCACAGTTTGTCCTGTTACTGCTAGAACTGTGACAACTCCTTTCTCAGCAGTGCAATCCAAATTAATTTACTGTAAATTACCAGAATGGCAGAGTAGGGCTGAACACAGATTGGTAATCTGCATCTTTTCTTTGTGAGTGGCACAGGCACCTCCTGATTGCTGTTGTGTGCTGACCACCTGCCTTATTGCACAGCCTCCTTCATGTGGCTGTGCAGGAACCTCCTTGGCTGGGTTGTGGTTTTGACCTCCCTTTGAATTCAGAACAGCTATTCTTTGCTTGCTTAAAGGGAGCACAAGGAAGTCGAGTAATGTTTTTGCATTCTGTTGGTGCTTACCCACACGGTGCAGCTGTTCACATACTGCTGTCTGCATCTGCTGAGAAACTGCAGGAGAAAAGTTTGCCCACAAGAGGGCAAAGACGGTCGGGTAATTGAAATGATCTGGTCCGAAGCACTCTGTTCTCTTCCGACCTGTATTTTCATTGGAGCCGAAGCCCATTTGCCCTCTGTTTTTGTCAGTGTGACTATAAGTTGAACAGAGTATTTTAGTGATCATTTTTACAGTCACTTCTTAAAATGTAGCTTGGTGGATTTCTGGTAGTAGATCAATTCTGTTTCAATGCAATACTTCAGCTAAGCAGTTTGGAACAGTAAAGGTTTTGCTTTTATTCCTTTTGTTTTGTAACCTGTCAAGAGATCTCTTTAAGTTTTCCTTATTTTTATTATGAAGTCAAGCTTCAGCTACATGATGACTCTGTACCTATAATGCAGTATTGCAGCTTTGAAGACTTTTGTGCTCTGTACTACGCTCTGGCTTTCGGTTGAAAGGCCTGTTGATTCTGGGTAGGTGAGGAGGCAGAAGAAAGGAATGGGGAATACCTGTGCATTTCTTAGACTCTGGGGAGGCTAAATGAGAGAAGCTTATTATCAAAACAAATGCAAATGATGCATGCTGGAAAAATGTCAGGGTCCACAAACAGAAATGTTGGCACACATAGCCGTAAAGCGCGCCTGACAGGGCTGCTCGCATTTCCCGTCCTCCACAGGCACCACAGCAAAACTTGCTTTGAGCCACTTGCATGTCCTGATCACTCATTCAATTTATTTCATATGACCTATTATCTCTTGGCTGAATATTAGAACAAGACTGGAGAAATAAAACAGCCTGGGCTGTTTTGAAGTTGGCACGTCCTGAGGTGAGAGTCAGGGCTTCACAAGGAGGTGTCAGCATAAACACATTCTTCTGTAGCACAACTCATTTGCAGCTTGATGAGGACAACACACAACAAGCATATCCAGTCAGGTATCTGTTGCTAGATATTCTGCACAAAAGCATGTTGCCGTCTGCAGTGCCAAGTTTGGAGACTACTTCACAACTCCCTTTAGCCATCACTTGTGTTTGTCATAAGACTTACTGAAGTCATAATATTGTACAATGTAAGCATTACAAGTTTTTTATTATTATATTCTCTACACTTGCTTAGAGAATTACTAGGTAAAGTGTTGCTCAAAATAACCCATCTGACTGTCTTCCTTACAGCCTTCCTTCTAATCACTTCCTTTGCACTGGCTGTCATTCATCTTCCAAAAATCTCAGTGCAGCCACTATTCTGAAATCCCCGCACCCACTAATCTGTACGTAAGCGAAGAGTGGTTACTTAGCCACTTTGTAGCCTCTACACAGCTAACCTAAGACTTGGAACTGCTGCTTTATAGTGCCAAGAGCTTTAGCTTTAGCTGCATCTCTGCTGGTTTCTCAAAGCAGCTGAGATGAAGTGACTGTGGAGGTCTAGCTGAGGGGTTACAATGCAGCATTAGAAACCAGTCTAGTTAATGTAAGTCTGCCTGTTTTCTGTCTCACAGTTCTCTTGCCCAGAAAGGCTTGTTTTATGAATGAATAAATGTTGTCCTTGACTTGGTACAGTTTTTTAATTGTTAACTCTTGTTTCTGGCAGTGGCGCCTCTCATTTGAGGGTAACAAGGGCATAATTATTCAGCTCTCACACATCAAACTGCTGAGCATGAGGTATTAATGGAGTGCTTTGCCGCCACCATAGCTTAATAGCTACAGCTGCAGTGCTGTGCTCTTGTTTGGCTGGGGCTCATGGAAAAGGGGTAGGGGTATGCAGCTCATTAAGTTTCATGTTAAGAGTGATTTACAGACATAGAAATAACAGTAGATTGTGCTAGATGGACAAAGTACTTCTGATATACAAGGAGCTATTATACCAGCAGAGCTGTGATTCACACCCATGTCAGGGAAGCCATCAGCACTAGTCCACCTTGGTATAAGCCCCAGTGATCTCAGAAAAGAAAAAAGAAAAAAAAAAAAAGCTGTGCTCTGTAACTGTGTGTGCTGCAGGACTGTACTATGGGGAAGGTTGGGAGGGAAGAAATCAAAACTTAAACTGATGCTTTTAGTTAGCTACAAGCTTTGAGGTCATAGTATTGTAGATAGTGATACACAGCTCCTAGCTTGCTCTCTTCACATCCACCCAGCTATTGCATGAGCTCTGTTACTAGCCAAGGCACGTGCTGGAGTTAAGAGGTATGTGCTGCTGCAGCTCCACATGGCAAAGCAAATCTACTCCAGCCCTACCGTGAGATGTTCCACTCCACCTGGAAGCTGATGGAGGAAGAGGCACATCAAGAATTAGCAAAAGGGTAACATATGTTCCTGAGTCACCGTGCTGCTGTGAATCATCTCTGCTCTCCTCTTCATTGAGTGCACAAGGAAGAATGGCTTAAGTATTTATTAAGGCCAGTCCTAAGCAAATAGCCTCCAAGAGACACAGTGCTTGTCTGTGGCAGAATGAAGTTTATTTACTCTCATTGGGCTATGAAAAACAAGGATGATGTAATTTCCTAGTCTGTCCCTGTTAGGGTTAGGTGCCTCTGAGGCTACACCTTTGTTTTCTTCCTCCAGGTTTCTAGAGCCTTGCTGCACTTCCTCCTATGCCATAAGGCTACTTGACTGCTGTTGCTCTTCCTGCACAAGTGTAAACATTTAAGAACAGAACACGTGTTTCAGACACACTGAATTTACAGCTGACTCTGTTAGTGGTCTGGTGATATTCTGCTCTGCAGAGATAAATGACCCACCACTCTGCTTGGCCTACTATGTCATCCACACACCAGCTCCACTTCAATTGCTGGGGCATTTTTTGTCTTTCTGGCAGTCCCTTCCTCAGCCACAGAAATATGCAGATGTTTCCTTCACCACCAACCCCTACTTTTTTCTGCACCTGGAAACACACACACACTGAACACAGGTTTCTTGATTCATTGCTTTTCTTCTGTGCAATTCCCTCTCTTCTGCAGGTGCTTGGTTTGCTAAGCAGTTGTATAGCTTTGTAGGGTTCCAACAGTATGGCATGTCTCTACAGTCTCAGGGAAGAGGAGTTCTGAGCGTGATTTACAGGGCAGTACCTCTGTGCACCAGTACAGGACTAACACCATTTAAGGGCCAACCAAAGCAACCTGTATACTTTGTAGCAGGGAGTGTTGGCATGGGACACCCGTGCTTAACACTGTGCCTCAGTGTTAATTCATGCTGCTGGCTGAATTCCTTCGTACAGGGAGGAGGGCAGGACTGCTGTGCTTTTGCTAATGTCTTAGGTTGCAGCTTATTCATTTCAAATGGTTGCTTTGTGCACTGCTGTTATTCTAGGTCTATAAAAATCTAAAGATCAATATAAAACATCCACAACACCTGGGGCGTTTTGAATTTAACTCAGCTCAAGCCAGGATCCAAAGAAGTGCATTTCAATTGAAAGCAGCCAGTTTATCTACTTCCTTTCTTCTGCTTCAAAAGCTAAGGCTTTCCTGACTGGGTAATCTCTGCAAGACTTCTGCTGCTCAAACACAAGCTGTACCTGAGAGCAGTAGGCATGCACCCACTGATAAAACTGCTTTTGAAAACATTTATCATATGCTCCTTTTCACGAAGCTGCAGTTCAGCACTATGGAACAAACAGGTGCCGCTGGAGGCCATGTTCAGGATGTGATAGAAAATCACTAACCTGCCGAACAGTGGTGCTCTGAGCTGCTCTCTTGGGAAAT